TGCTTCCTTTAGCCATGAAGAGAAAACAAAGTTCTTAATATTTATTAAGGGCCTGCTGTATGCTGGACAGTGTGCTGGGCAGTGGGTCAGGAGGCCTCTCCTCCAAGACCTTGAAATCTATGAAGGGAAAAATCACAATACCAAAAAAAGTGATTGTATGTCCAAAGGCCAGGTCTTTTTCTCAAAGCACAGCAAAAAACACTAACTTGAGGCTTTTCACAGTGTTTGCACCAGATAATACTGTGGGTCATGGGTTATGAGAAAAAGAGTTCGCAAACTGACAAATGTGTGTGAGGCTGGTAATCAAGACAGACTGACTTATATTCACAAAGAGGCCTGGTCACTAGAGTCCAGTGAGAGGGAACACTCTGCCCCCCGAAGTGGTGTTCTCACCAGACCTCTCGATTCTCAAGTAGGTGCCGTAGAAAGCTTATCTTTTCCTCAACCACCAGTCCAAAAGCATTCCAGGTCAGTACGTATGAATCTTTTCAATGGCCACAGAATAATGCATTATTTGGATATGTCACCAAATATCGAAATGGTTCCCACTGATGAGTACGTAAGGCTCTTTCCAGTACTCCGCCACCACAAATCAATATATCGACTCTTCCATAAGTGAAATCCACTGTTATCCTTTATTTAACATGGTGACTAAAAAAAAAAAGGCATCCCCATAAATGAAGTGGTGGACTGAAAATGAGAAATACATGCTGAAGTCAACAGTTTTTTTATTCAAATCTGGAGAGGGCCCTTCCTTGTGCTGGCAAAGAGGAAAACACTTGGGCAGGCATAGGAAAACAGAACAGCCATCCTGCAGACGTCTGCCTATAGGACAACCTGTTATCATTCCATATTATCTTACTCATATATTTAGATAGTGGATAGTATCAGTCTCTTGGGGCTAGAGCATGCATGGGAATAACCCAAAAGCACGAAAAAAAAAAGTAGAAACATTTTGCTTTGCTTTCAAATTATTACTTGCACAACTGAACTCTCACAAAACTAGAAAACTCATGAAACGAAGGGATCAAAATTCAGATTCAGTGAACATTTATATGCCTATGACAAGCCAGGTGCCCATGAGAGCATGACACTGGTCATACAATCCCCATAATAAAGAATGTATTAACATCCCCATTTGGCCAGCTCCCATGTGCTGCTAGCAAATTGCAGAATCAAAATCTGCACCTCAGTTTCTTGCCATCTTTAAACCACCATTCTGTCAACTGTCTCCTGGCTAATGATTCCTTGCTACAATAGTAGACCGGCACCCCGTGATGTTACATGGGAGGCCTCTCTGAGCAGCAGCCATCAGATTATAGAAATAAGAAAGGAATCTAAAACTAAGTCCTAAATTCGGGTGGGTTTGGGTTTGGGTTTGAATGTATGTGTGTGCATGTCTGTGAGATAGAGAATATGGAAAAAGGTTACCGCACTTCATTTCATCTCGGTGGAAGAAGCTTAAAATAAATATCACGTGTTTAAGAAACTGGAAACACATTTGTTATTTAAAAAATAGAGAAAGCAAATAAGCATACATGCTGTAAAGATATTAATTATATTTTGGCAAAAAGTCTGAGTAAAATGAGAATTAAAAGAGAAAACACGAGAGGATGATGACAAGTGATAAAATGGTACTAAAAAGATTTTTATTAAAAAATTACCAGAAGACGATGCAGTAAGTGTGGCTCCTCCTAATGACAGCTGCTTCTGCTGCTTTCTGTTTGTGGGCAGTTTTAAATGATAGTATTTTATTTTGGAAAGTTGCTTTCAAATGCACAGATGTCAAATAAATAGGTGTTATATGATCTGATATTTAAAAAGTTCTCCATCAGCTGGGCTTCAGCACCATACCACACAGGGCCCGGATGGCCCTGTACGTCTCCTTCTATCAATCAGGAGGAAAGGCTGTCTAGACAGGATGGCAGAGAGACTTGAGCTGAGAGTGAGGGGCCCTGGGTTCCTCACCCACCTTGACTGGTGATCAGTCTTGTCACCTTTACTTCTCTAACTTTCCTCATTTAGAAAAGTGAGGCTAACAGCCATAGTCGTGAGGCCCAACAAAATAAACACATGAGACTGTACTTTTAAAAACAGTGAGGTCTGTGCCTGTGTGGGAAGATATATAATTTGGTTCAGAGAGTTAGATGCTGTTGTGTACAAGATGCTGGTGTCCTTGGCTAAGATCTTAGGGTTTCTTTAGGTGATTTCAACAGCTACTCAGATGCCCTAAATTTAGGAGAAATGCACTTGCGCCTAAAAGAAAACTGATGGTTTTCTAACGTACTTACTAAAACTAAAACTCTAAACACCACGTGATACTCTAGTAGGAGAGAATGGACATCTAACTCAATCACCTTGTCTCATGAAATCTGTAGGGTAGACTGGAAGAAAGCCAAGAAAGGCAACACAGCTTAATCAAGGCTGTTCATTCATGGCAGGCAAAATGCATAATGAGAACTTAAGTCCTTCTACAAATGTCCTATGATGATTATTTAATAGGACTCCACCATAAAAGAAAAGAAAGCAGGTTTCACCGGACTCATCCTTATCCTCACAAAGGTACGGACTGAACTCGAGAAAGACGAAGTGACTTGGCTAAAGTCACAAAGATGATCATGTCTAGAATCCAGGTTTTCTGGCCCCCAAACAGGGGCCTTCCCCATTGCAGCAGTGCCTACCCCTTCACGCAGGGTACTGATCTCACTGCTGTCCCTCATAAGGAAATTTTACCAGTATGCTCCGTAAGACATTTTCTTTCTTTTTTAACCTACCACTTAGGTATGTCTCCCCAGCCTTTTTTTTTTTCTGTGACACAATTTACTTCTCTGAGAACGGGGCTTTCTTTGATGGTTTAGAATGATGTTCAATCTGAGAAAAACCTTAAGATTTCTGTATGAGGAGGTGATGAGGGAGGCGAGGGGAGATGGGATTTAATGTTCCACTTGAAGCAAGCTCCACAACCATGGTTCTTAAAGCATTTTAGAAGGGAAGTGCTCAATCATTAGTGGCCTCAGTAAGGGCCTCAATCAGCCCTTCTGATGTGCTTATTCCTAACATAGTGGAGGTTGGCCTGAGTATGCAAACAAGAACCTGTTAGCCAGGAAGATCAGGGATTGTGAACACCCAAGCAGCGACCTCTATTCTAACGCACATCATGCTCCATTTATAAAATGGCTATTCCAGCAGGTTTTCAGCAAAATATTACTTAGATCGATCAACCAATATTTATTTAAGGCCAATGGACTCTAAGTTTACTCACCTTTAGGATTCATTCTCCAGGATTATTAATATAAAAGACACTCAAGACTGTGACACAATTGATAAATAACACATGGGAGGAAGATCAGATTTTAGGCTCATACTTAGACTTTATGTTTGAAATATGAACCGTGACAGAACCGCTTCTCAAACCATGAAAGAAAAGCACAAAAATAAAATTTTAGACCATTTTGAACATTCTGATGTGGAATGGGAGAAAAAGAACACAATCTAGTGGGGGAGGGGCCAATCAGAAATAGGTCCAGCTACGCAAAAGTCTCTGTCCCTTGAGGGGTGTCACTTAACCTCCACATTCTTAAGCTTCTCTTGCTAGGAAAATGGGAATCATAAATTGTGTCCTACCTAGCTCACTAAGAAGTGAAGACAAAATGAGGGAACACATGTGAAACTACATGGGACATAGTGTCACAAATGTAGATTGTTTTATAAAGGATATACAGTTGGATTAATGCTATAGCGAGCTAGATGCTGTAACATACAAAGTAAAATACTTTCCAAAGAAACCTATTTGCCAAAGATGGGGAAAAAAAAACTGTTAAAACAACTGTAAAGCTACTTCTCAATAAGGTGATAATACTGGGAAGCACTTCTATAATCCATGCAAATTTTAAGTTGCTTGAAAAACATGCATGCCACTTTGGTGTTGGGCATTCTTTGATCAAGTAATTAAAACCGGTCTTGTAAGTCTCCTCCCATACATATGAATTTTATTTATAATACATTACAAAACAAACTCTGAAAGAGAATAAACATTCTTACACCTTTCTAATTTTTGAAAATATCTCTATGTTTTCTTGGAAACATTATATATGTAAAGTCCTTTTTTTTCCAACTATTTAATCGAGGTCTCTTTGGACTAATTGATGACTCTGATGTACAGTTTTGGAGGCTTCTTTGAGGAAAAAAAAATTCTGAATGTATTAAATTCCTAAGTATCAGTTAAGTCATGACTCGTGCTACAGAGTCTACATGTATAAGCAAACTTAGCCCTTCGGTAATAAGTGAGATTTTAATTTCTTATTATTCTATTTTGGCGATTTTATTTTTTTAATCGCATATTAACAGGACGTTTATGGGCAGCCTGGGTGGCTCAGTGGTTTAGCACCTGCCTTAGGCCCAGGGCGTGATCCTGGAGGCCGGATTGAGTCCAACGTCGAGCTCCCTGCATGGAGGCTGCTTCTTCCTCTGCCTGTGTCTCTACCCTTCTCTCTCTCTCTCTCTCTCTCTCTCTCTCTCTCTGTGTGTGTGTGTGTGTCTCTCATGAATAAATAAATAAAATCTTCATGAATAAATAAATAAAATCTTAAAAAAAAAAGGACTTTTACTTCTTCAGCGTAATGAGACTGATCACTATCCTGCATTCTTGGACATGCAATTACGTATCCCATGCTCATGATACTTTTTGTTGGCACAATGCTTTAGAGTCTCCCAAAAACTTTTGCAGGACGGACCCCCTCCCACCCCCCACCCCCACCCCCCGGGGTGAAGCAGGCAGGCACAGATCTGCTGACATTGTTAGGAACCAGCCAGAACCTGGGCTTAGGCTCCCAGATCGGGGCTCTAACCACCCAGGGGCACTTCTCCTCGCTCTGCTTCGGTGTTAAAGACCCAGCCACGAAGGCCGCTGGCGGCCTTGGCGCGGGTCTCTAAGCTGTGGCAGGTGGTCCCTGCGCAGGGCGGCCAAGCCGGCCCTAGGCCTCGGGGGCGGGGGCGCTTACCGTCCAGGTGGCCGACTTGGCGGTGCTGGACTGCTGGAAGGACACGTCGAAGCTGTGCGGGCCCGGGTAGTCGGTGTTGGAGGGGATGGCGGGGGACGGGGACAGCGCGTCGAAGGTGGAGCTGGGCTGCGCGTAGGGCGACGGTGCCGTGACGCTGTTCTGCGCGTGGTCTGTGTTGTAGGGGCTGGTGGACGAGGAGCCGTTCTGAATCTGCTGGTCCATGCTGTTCAGGAGCCCCAGGTTCGTGTACTGTGGCTGCGGGACGCCCAGAAACCCCAGTGTTAGCTCTTTGAAGCGGCAGGCCATTGCTCCCAAAAAGGCACCGCTTCGTGCGTGCATTCTACAGAAATGCACCCTGGGCCTCTGAGACCTCACAGCCCAAGCCAAACGACCGCTTCGTCATAGGGAGGACCAAGGGACGTCTGAGGCCTGTGTGTGCTTCGTCAGGACCTGGCACAGGTCACACGGGTTTTTGTGCAGCCTTTGGAGACTGTGGTCCCCCGAGGAGAGACCGAGAGGAGCACGCACACAGTGATGCTGTGGAAGCCTTGCATGGTATCAGACAGTGGCCACATGCACGGGGAGCAAAGCATAGGGCAGAGCCTTGGGATCACTACTCATGAAACTGATGTAGCATTGAATGTCCACTATATTTAAATTTAAAAATAAAGTAAAATATGCACTTATTAGTGAACTGGGCAACAATGTTCAGGGCTCAGTAGCTCTATAGGTCTTTAAGGGGCACCTGGGTGGCTGAGCGGTGGGGCATCTGCCTTTGGTTCAAATCGTGATCCCAGGGTCCTTGGGATGGAGTCCCACACCGGGCTCCCCGCAGGGAGTCTGCTTCTCTCTCTGCCTGTGTCTCTGCCTCTCTCTGTGTGTCTCTCATGAATAAATAAAATCTTAAAAAAAAAGGTATTTAAAATAAATAAATACCACCTCCTATTTCTTTGTATTTTCCCCCTCCTGCCATAGTATTCAGAATGAGAAAGACCACTGGATGGTATGTTCTAAAGGGGATTTGAAGCATCAAATAGTTGTATATGGAGCAAAATCAGATGTCCTCCAAATGTCCTTATAGTCTTACACTCTAAATTCTGCCCCAGGGTAACAAGAATGCTTCCACCCCCACCCCACAAGGACCCACTTCTTCGAGACTGGAGAAGCACACAGGTAGCAAGGTTAGGGAAAGCCATCTAGATATCTTTAAATGTAGCATGCTAGTATGTCACCCAAACACAGCCTAATTTTTTATCCATTCTTTCATTTTCTTTGTAGCAGTTTATTCTTTGCCAGCATAGAACATGTGGAAGAGGAATCCCATCTCGTTATGATTAACATTCTATATTTGATACAATTCAGAAGTATATTAGCTCATGTAGCTCCTCTGCCAGATGCTCTTATGTCTTTTGTGCCAACAAGCACAGAGTAGGCACTAGATACGATGTGTATGGAAAGAATGAGTTAACTTGTCATTTAATACACACACACACACACACACACACACACACAAATGTATTACTATCAGAGAGCAGGAGTGATTTACTCAAGTACCAGCTAATAAGCAAAGAGTGGGAATTCTGAAACCAAATCTTCTGACTCTGATGGAGTCCAGGGCCCTGCCCAACACCAGCACACCTGTCAGCCCGATGAGATAATTCGAAGCATTCCTAAAGTGGACGCAAATGGGATAGTTTCCAGAAGTGGCACCCACTGTATGGTCCAGTTTTCCCCGTGTAAACACTTCTGACCCACGTTAATCTCATTGTCTCTTCAAGCCCAGGAAGGGGGAACAAAGTAAAAGCAAGAAGAGAAAAAGCAGTCTTGTTGATTTTATAAAGGAAATGAGGAGTCAGGTGCTTCGGTTGAGGTAGCACTTGCAGAGTCCCGACCAAGTCAAGTGATGGAGAAGAACAAGCAAGCTCACAAAGAAATAGAAGGTGGACGAAAATCTTAACGGCATTGAATTATTCGACTAAACTTTAGGTATTTCCCACAGGGAGGCGAAAGGACGAACTCGGCCATTCCATTCAGTCCAGAGAGCATCTGGCTAAATGTTACAGGCCGCACGCCCATCCCAGGACATTTATACATTCGCATTCCACTGCCCGAATGCCACGTCCCCATTTGCTCTTCAAATAACTATTAATCTCTTTACACTTCTCCCCCTGCTGACAAGAGCAGCTGTTTGTCTTGCCTTCTCTCTCCTCTGACTTCTGCAGCTCCTACTCCTGTCCTCTGGTCCAGCTTCAATTTGTACTCTTCTAACAGGTGAGGCCAAAACTGCAGGTGACACAACTAGGGGAGAAGCGAACAACATAGGAGCCCCCACCCCTTGCCCCAGTGTCCACACTCCCAACCCAAGCTGAACTCAAGTCTGGAGGCATGCAGGCCAGCAGCAGGGGCAATGGAATGGGATTGCAAAGATATTATTTGTGTTCAAGTTAAGGGTCAGCATGCAAAGCACTCCTGTATGTCCTGTAGGAATCAGATAATGCTCATACAGGCACGTGCTTCCCTACAGCACTACAATTAGGGAGGCAGTCGGCCCTGACAGAAAGGACAAAGAAACCCGCCGAGCACTTTCTCACAGGCAGTAAAATGCCTGTTGAGCCACCCCTTTCCTCCTCCTTCCAGCTACACAGAATGGAACTTTGGCTAATTGTGGGCTTGGATGAGAACAAAGAAACATAGCCCTTTGAATTTTCTTTTTCAATATATGTAAAGAGAAAAGTTTGGGGTCCAGCTTTAAAAGCCAGTGAGCAAACACTCAGTGCTTCTCGAAGGACTTAAGAGAAATAGAGAATGCATTTACTTGGGAAGCACAAAGGAGACCCCTGGTGTAGCTGGAGAACTGAACATATCAGGTGGTACTAAAAAAGCAGAAACCATATTCCCAGTCATTTCATAGCGCTGTAGGTGCTGATGGCAAAGCTTTTAAATGCCAGCATTTTTAATTCTATACAGTTCAGGGGAAATAGTTTACTTAATAACAACAGAGTGTGCTTCCAATGCTAATGCCTCCACTTACGCATCGGAATTCTCAGCTTTAGACACAGGGCTGCTTACTATCCAAGACAAAAGTGGGAAAACGCATTTCAATTCAAACTTTTCCCGAATTTTACTTTAAGGAAACATATGTCAGGTAGTGTGCTCAATTGTCTTTCAAAACCATTTAAAAGCATAAAACCAACACTACTTGCTTTTAATTTGCCTAGAACACAAAGTAGGAATTGCATGATTGGGAATCTACTTGGATACTTTGCAGAGCTTTATTAAAAATCAGTGTCATAAATTTGCCATAAGAAAGAGTACTTTTGAGGTTAATTTAAGGAGCATTCAGTTAACAACAGCAACAGTTTCTTATTTGCCTCTTTGATTTGACAAGAGAGTGGACATGTCCACAAAGTGGGATTGGAGGCTGAGGGCAGATTAACGTAGCCAAGAAGATAAGCGCTATGTAGGCAGGACCAGCAAAATAATTTGTGTGACCCATTACAAAATGAAAATGCAGGGCCTCTGGGTCATAGACTATTGTTTCAAAATGGTGATAGCAAAACATAAAAAAAAAAAAGAACCAGAACCCATTGCAACTACACACTTTTGTATGTATGTATGGAGTTAGCTCTGTACCAGGTTAATGAGGATAAAATTCATTTTCCACCGAAGTGAAGCTAGTGGGGTAAAGGAAGTAATGCCTGTGCCCCTTCTTTACTATAATTCCATGAACATGGAGGGGTGTTATGCTAGGATGCTAATGTAATGCCTATTTATGATGACCAGGAGAAGAGCTTCAGAAGTTAGAACTGGACATTTTCATGCTAGTCAAAACAAACAAACAAACAAACAAACAAAAAAAACAAAACAAAAAACTGCCCTCAGTAGAACTCTATGGGGTCTCCTATGTCCCATGTATTTCTTATTCAACAAAAAATATTGGAATATTTGAAATGAAATAAGAATTGTTCCTTTCTAGCCACAAGGTATCTTGATCTTGAAATAAACTTCACATACTCTGTAGATACGCAATGAGTGAATGAATGAATGAATGAATGAATGAATGGAAATGTTATCTATCTACCCTAACACATCTGGAAGAGGAGGCAGCCATCTTTCCACAAATCCTGAAAGGCAAAATGAACACAATATGCCTGATAAAGTATGACAATTGATTTCCTCTGGCTTCAAACAGATGCCTCATTTCCTATAAAATAACTTTGAAGTAGAAGACTCACCCCCTGGATCCTAGTTTGTTGTTTTATTTTTTTGCTTTTTTTTTTTTTGTTCTTTTTTTTTTTTTTAGCAACATCTATAACTGGAATATATTCAGGTTCATCACAGACTAGCCAATCTGACCACAGAAAGGATGAAACGCACCTTGTTCCCTGAGACTTATATTTCAGGTAATCCCAGGATACCTTGGGGGTGTTCTGAAACACAGAACTGTCATGAAGTGAAGAGATACTCAGGGGCTGAATCTCAAACTGTTTGCTTTTACCATCAGGAAAGAGTAAGTATAGGTAAGAACTATTCCAAATACAGAAAAGAGTATTTTCCTGTTTTTCTCCTCTTTTCCACCTTTTTCATTCTCATAGCCATCTGTAGGGTCTGATTTATTTCTTCACTGAACTTCAATTTGGATGATTAGAATTAAAATATAGAAGACTGGATTTTTCCTGAGTGGGCACTGCTTTAGGAGTATCCTATAAATGCAATCCCTGTAGTTTCATCTCTTTTTCTTTCCTGGATTACACTAATAAGTTATCTTAAAATCTGAAAATAATGTGAGCCTAAATTTTCTTCTCATCTGCTCAGAAATAATGTACCAGTGTGTAGCACTGTAAACAAAACTCAATATTGAATACCTGGGTTTATGCTTAAAGTTGGCATTGTCATCACTTTCCTATAAAAGAATTTAACATCAAAAAAGGGTCCCCATTAAGTCCTTTGACCAGTGAAATGCAAAGAGAGACTTAGATGTAATTTGTGCTCCTGCAACTCTTTCTCCTCCAATTTATTTGTATAAGAGAAATTGTGTAAGTTCTATTCATCAGATACTACTATCTGTAATAGCTAGTTTATGACCACATGGCAATAAGAGCCACAGTCTATAGCAAGAAGTTAATAAAAAAAAATGAGAGCCAAATCAGGAATAGGACGGGTTACTGCTGGGAGGTAAAATCACAACTTGTTTACTTCCATTTAAATGTCCCCTTGTCACAGGAAACAATCACTTGCCCAAATTTTATTTCAAG